GATTTCTTCAACACCGCAATAGATAAAGAACTATGATCAAGGGATTATCAGAAAAAACAGAATTATCTTTCTTTTGAGGACCCGCCCCATTTGTAAAATAACCAAAAGCAGCTCCATAAGAAGCCTTATCAGCTTCATTGTTCGAAACAATGCCTTCGTCACAACCATAACCATAACCACATCCAGTAGCAATCTCCTCATGAGCTTCATATCCAACAGCATCGAAAACCCAGTAGAGCCATGCCCACCATGTGAAGGTTTACCATCATTCTCCCCATCACCACCATAAGCTTGCAAAACCTTCCTCGGATCAAGCGGTTTGCCCTCCATAGGGAGGGCATCGCCATGGCTAGGGTTGCCCGCATGAGCCATCTGCAGATCACGAAGTTTCAATGGCAAGGAAGCAACAATTATCCAAATTATCTAACCATGTATACTTGCTCCTTACCCAAACACCTAGTAAGTGATCTTTTATTTTGAAAAAGTTTACATAGAGCCGAGGCTCTAAACAATCAAAATAGAGCCCATCTCAAAAATTTTACTAGAAGAAATTTTTTGATGCTCAAATATCCTCAAATTGATCATCTCAACATCAATATGCATGGACATGAGAGAAAAATAGATTTCAAGTTTTGAAAATAGTGCATCTTGTAACACATTTAAGAACCGTCAATTTTCAAGATTTTCAAGTTCTCATAGATTTGCTCGATCTACACTATTTGGAAGCTTTAAATTTTATAATTAAAGATAAAAATATATTTTAAGGCTATCACAAAGATTTCCAATGCTGAAACCATATTGCTTGACATTATTTGGAGGTGGGCTTTAATTTGATTGTTTAGAGCCTCGGCTCTATACAAACTGCAGCACCCTTTTATTTTTTATAAAAGTTAGCATCTAGTCTCTGATTGACCTTTTGAACAAAGTAACCGTTGGTTGTAACTTGCAAGCGATTTAAAATTTTCAAAACTTTCTAAAAAATAGCGCAATTTTCAAAAACAACTAAAAGCTAGAATTAAGCAACTTTCAAGAACTTTCTAAAAAATAAACAAAAACTAGATTGTGGGTTCAGAGCTCTCTTTTTCTTGCAGATCGATCTCCAAAAAACTTTGTTTACCTAAACGAGATTCACCTGTGTCTACTCCAACTGCAACTACTAGAGAGAGAGAGCCTAGACTGCAACTTCAGCAACTTTTGCAATTCACGACTCCAAGAAACAAAGAGGCGCATAAAATGCAATTGTTGCTGCAGTAATATAAGAGCGTGAGTAGGAGGGCCATGGCTTTCTTTTTTCTTTACCACAACAGTGGGCATGGACTATGCAGAGCCCCAACTGCAATCCCACCACCTGCTCTTTTCCCCCCATCCTCGACCCTCCCTCCTTCCACCCAATAATCAAACACTAACCCGAATTTCCATCAAAGCAACAACAACCCCGTCCTCCCTTACCCGGAAAACCCTAAACCTAACTTCCACCGCCACCAATACACAACCTCATCCCACCATTACCACAACTTCCCCTTCTCCTTGAACCCACCATACACCGCTCCTCCTCCTCTACCTCTCAGTAATCCTCCACCACCCCCACCACATCTCAAAATCGAGACATTTCAGAACCCTACTCCAAAGCCCCTTGCAAAGGAGGCAAGGCCGTCGAAACCGACTGGTCGGCCCGCCTGCCTAAATTGAATGACAGAGGAGAGTGAAGACTGAAGAGAAGAGGAGGGAAAGGAAGAAGAGGAGGCAAGAAGAGAGGCACCATCATCATCAAGGTCATAGGAGTCATGAATTGGGGGTTGGGGTTAAGGGACAGTTCTGGGATGAGGGGACCGAAGAGGAAGGGGGCTGAGAGGGTTGAAGCAACCATCAACGTTTTTATACAAATTGAAGTTTAGGAATGAGCTTCCAGATCCCACAGCACAACTTTAAGTTATTGGCTTTGAACACAGATAAAGATCAATACGCTAAATGCAAAATCACATCACTAGAGAAGCTGCACAAGCCAAAACGTTTTGTTGAGCCAGACCATGGGATACCTCTTGATCTACTTGACACGAGTGTTTACAACACTCCTAGTGTACAGCCGTCGCCTCCTCTTGCCCCTGAAGACAAATAGATGACGACGGTGAGGCAGCTACCCCCATCTTAGAAGGAAGGATCGGCCCCCCACAGGATAGCATAAAGGTGTCTTATGGTTGGTTAAAAATGAATACATAACTCCTCCTAGCATTGGATCGGAATGAGAATCATTTTTTCAAGAGGAACTAAGTTTTTATCAGCATCATAGACTCATAGAACGATGCATTTGTCAAAAAGATATAGGACAAATTATGCATCCATTCAGTGGATCACCCATGTTACACTTCTTTTGGCAGTAAAAGAAATGTGGGATTCTTTCTCTTCTTTTTTTTATTTTTTGGCTTTCTTTATGACAGTAAACAAGGTAAACATGATAAAACGAGAGCATCAGAATTTCGCTAAGAGTCCATAAACAAGATGAGAAAAGCACACACCTGTCAATCCTTTTCAAAGTTGAGCTTTTAATACCAAATAATTTTTAAGGAAGAAAATAGCAATCTACAGTGAAATTTGAGTTTTGATGTTGCAACAACATATCACACAAGTGAGCCCAAGAAGAAGAAAACCCCTTTCGAATTACGCTACCAAGAGCAATAAATAGACCTTATATTTAGAGCAATATTTATTAATCATGAAAAGTTAAGAAATTTGCACACACACAAAAAATAAAAATAAAAAAAAAGAAATGCTTACTGATTCTCTACATGAAATGCCCAAAATTATTTAACCAAAAAAGGAAAAGCCCAAAAATATTCATGCAATTACTAAAAATCAATTCACAAAAGCTATAACTTACAATAATAAAATAAAAGTAATCGGCTAGATAATAGGGTTGGGGTCGTAGTGGTAATACCACCGAAACCACGACTAAAAGTCATGTCCTCCATTCTCACTCACTTTCATAAAAAAAAAAAAAAAAGGGTCATGTCCATTCCCACTCACCTTCATAAAAAAGAAAAGTAATCGACCAACCAAAAAAGAAGATCACAATAAGAAACAAGAAAAACCGACCCGTATAAACTATTGTTTGATTGGTGCTTGATTCAATGTAAACTGCTCTTTGCTTATTCACATAAAAAATGATCAATGTAACTACTCTTTGATTAATCACATCAAAAAAGCGACCCGTGTAAACTACTGTTTGCTTGGTGCTTGATTTAATGTAAACTAGTCTTTGCTTAATCACATCAAAATGATCAATGTAAACTACTCTTTTGCTTAATCACATAAAAAATGAGCCTAATCGCATTAGTACTTGTCATCTCGTACTCCTACCTCATCTCGATACCTACGTTATCTGTGTGTGTCTTGGTAAGTATGGGACTCATTGATATGACATCAACAAATTAGATATGCGCATTTGCTAAAAGGAAAAAAAGGGTACAAACTAACTTAATAACGATCAAAAGGATATCTGCATTTGACAAAAGGAAAAACGGTACAAACTCTTAACTTAATAATGATCAGAAAAGTTGAAAAGGTGAGATGTTTGCCTTACAACTCAACTATAAAAGCAAAGAAAAGCCCCATTATTCCACCATTTTGTGACTACAAATATCTTGGGAAAATATGGCTAAAGTTCTTAAAAGTATCTTCCAATATCTTTAAAGGCTTCCAAAGATGGCATTTATCAATGCAGGATTTACTTTTGGAAGGAAAAAATTTATATAAGGTTGCAACCTTAAAATGTAGAATTAAAGATGCACCTCAAAGATCCATCGAAAAAAGTTATTTTAATGTTGAAAAACTTTCTAATTGATCATCTCAACATCGAGATGTATAAGTATGGGGGGAGGGAGGGGAAAAAAGAAAAGATTTTGAGTCTAAAAAATAGTGCATCTTACAACACATTATCTAGACCATTCATTTTCAAGATTTCAATATGTATAAATCTATCTGATTTTAACCATTTTTGGAGTTTAAAATTTTATAATTAGATATGATAGATTTCATATAACCCTAATAATTTTTTACATCAATATTACATGTTATGATAAGATTTGGAGGTGAAAGATAGCTCTACTTATTCAAGATCAAGAACACATAATTATTAAAGGAAAAATTTTATATAGAGCCGAGGCTCTAAACAATCAAATTTGAGCCTACATCAAATAATTCACTAGAAGATGTTATTTTCATGCCCAAATTTCTTCAAATTGATAATCTCGACATCAAGATTCATGTACATGAAAAAAAAATAGATTTCAAGTTTTGGAAATAGTGTATCTTGTAACATATTTTTGGACTGTCAATTTTCAAGATTTTCAAGTTTCTGTAGATCAACTTGACCTACATTATTTTTTAAGCTTTAAATTTTATAATTAGATATGAAAATATATTTTAAGGTTATCACAAAGATTTTCAATATTGAAATTACATTTCTCAACACCATTTGAAGGTAGGCTCTAATGTGATAGTTTAGAGCCTAGGCTCTATACAAACCCCACCCATTATTAAATGATGAAAATACCCCAAGTTCCATATTGCTAACCCACAACAGCAATGGCTATTTCCATATTGCACACACCCTGGGGAGCATAGTTCCTCCAGCAAACCCAACTTAGAAGTACTTTTAGTGTTAGGCTTTATAGCGATTTATAGACCATTAGCTCTTGTTTAATTTTTTGTAACCAGTTACCTATTTAAGGAAAAAAATTATATAGGTGTGCCACCTTATATTATAGAAGTAAAAGGCACCTCAAAAATCCAGTAGACTATTCCGAAGTTTGAAAACTTCCCTATTAATCATCTCGACCTTGAGATGTATGGTATAAAGAAAAACAATAATTTCAAATCTTAATAATAGTTCATCTTATAACAATTTATCTAGATTGATTATTTTCAAGACATTGAAGTGATTATAGATCTAATCTATCTGCACTTCCTAAAATTAAGATTGAATATAGATTTTCAAGCCACCGTGACACCACAACTACATCTTCCAGCAAAATTTAGAGGTGCACCTAACTTGTATGGTATAAGGTGGGCACCTTATAAAAACCTGACCCAACATAAAATGATTCAGTAATAGAAACTAAAGAAAATTTGCCAGTCAATCATCACACCATGATCTCCTCTAGAACAATACCCAGGCATAGTACAGTAGTGGCCAACCTAAACATTAACTATATCCTTGGGTAGACTGAAGATGGCAGGCATTACAATCTCATCAGCAATCATTCTCCCAACCTTGGGCATAACGTGCCAATGCGAGGTCAAGTTGAAGTATTTTCCACGAAGATGGTCTCCCTAAAACAGGTCATAGAGAAGGTATCTTACAAGTTATGATTGTTAAACAAAACAGAAAATAGTGCAGAGAAGGAGGGAAAAAGAATTCAAAAACTACCTGATCCGTCAAGGGGTACATTACTTTGGTTTGAGTTTGCCCTATGGCACGGTCTCGTGAAGGGATTCTATGATACCACAGCGAGATCTAAATATGAAATAAAAACAAGGAAATCAATATTAAGCCATCTGCTATAAGTAATAGCAGAAGACACACACGCACGTGCATGCACGCACGCACACACATACAAACAAACAGGGGAAATTATCTATATTTTATTATAATCGAAAAAAAAAACCCCAATTTTCCAAAACCTCACCTACACTCTTTCTCATAATTTTTGACTTTTTTGGGACCAAAATGACCTTCACGGCTGTCTTTTTACTGTAATACATATTAAGCATTACGATAATTAAAATACCATAATAAGTTGAAGGAGTAATATGGTCATTAAAATACCATAATAAATTAAAGTAGTATTATATTACTTTAACTACTGCAGTATATAATATATTCTTTACGGCATTCTTATTACCGTAAAGCCCCACCTGCTCTCTCTCAAACCCACCTTTCTCAGTCTCTCTCTATAAAACCCACCTTGAACTAAGCAATAACCATAATAATGACTCGAAGCCTCATTTTTTTACGGAGATGAATGGCTTGAAGTACCAGAACCTTGAGAACAATAATTTTCAAGGCCCCATTCCATTTAACTCTAGTTTTATCAAGAAACTGGTTGTGTTCAAGGTTGGTGGGAATTCAAACTTGTGCTACAATCACTCCATTGTTTCTTCAAAGCTCCAGCTTGGAATAGCACAATGTGATAGCTCGAGTTTGCCTATTACTCCTCATTTTGCATCAGACGCTCCATCTTCTTGGCAAAACAATGACACTTCGGACGATGATTAAGATGTCGCAGACCATACTACACATCATCACCATGGGCCAAACACCATTGTTCTTGTAGTGGTCATTGGGTTATGTTCCATTAATGTCCTCATAATTTTCCGTGTTTTGCTGAAGTGGTGTTCAAGAAAATTGGTTTCTTATTTACATGGTTCCTACAATTAAAATTGGGGGAATGGTGCAGCTGAAGGATTATGGGCTTCTTTTGCATTAGAGTTGCAGGCATTGGAAATGAGGTCTTTGGATTTTTTTTTTTTTTTTTTAGTAATTGAGGTGTGGTTTCTCTTTTATGCATTGTTTGTGAGTCGAACCTCTATTTGTTTCCCTCTCATTGATTTTTTTCAAATTTTAGAGAGAGAGAGAGATACAGTTTTTAGCTTCTTCATTTGATTGGAAGGGAAAGGGGAAAGGGGAAAGGGGAAAGGGGTTTACTTGGGTTTGGCTGAGAGTATAGTGTGAAACTGCAAAAGGCTTATAGGATCTCTGTTCCTCTGGTTTTATCCATTTTTGGGAACATTTTTGTGATGGATCTGTTTTTACCCTCAACAATTTTGTTTGTGGATGTATATTACAAATACATTCAATGTATTGGGTACTTTGTGGTGAAGGATTCTGCAAATGAATATGATGGCCTCTCCTATCTCTCTGTCTGCTTGATCTGCATCTCTTTCTATTCATCTCTCCGTCTCTCCCTGTGCTTGACTTACGTGTCCCTCTCTGTGCTTGACCTACGGTAATAAGAATGTCGTAAAGGTATTACGGTATTTTGGAGAGAGAGCATGTGAGAAAGCATTAGAGTAATAAGAATGCCTTAAATAATACGTTATATATATATTACAGTAATTAAAGTATTATAATACTACTTCAAGATATTATGGTATTTTAATTACCGTAATACTCAATCAATTTATTACGGTATTTTAATTACCGTAAAGCTTAATATGTGTTACGGTAAAAAGACCACCGTGAAAGTTATTTTGACCCGGAAAAAGCCAAAATTTGTGAGAAATAGTGTAGGCGAGGTTTTGAAAACTTGGGGTTTTTTTTTCAGATTATAATAAAATATAAGTATATTAACGATAATTTCCCAACAAACAAAGCCATAAATAATATTAGAAAAAACATGCAAGTGCAGTTGCGCGCGTACATGGATTTTCTATCATCGCAGTAATAGTACACATCCAGCTTCTCATATTTTGAAAGAACTGTATTTACCCATGAGTTGCAAATTATTTAGTCATCCAGAATTCTGAGGCAGTGCAGAAATAATCATACAAAACAGGGTTGACACATAAAGCAAGACATGGGAATTTTTATCACTTCTCCGGAAACTGGAGAAATAATCGCATAAAGCACAAGGTCGACATGCAGCTATCGAAAGGTGACGAAAAACATATCGAAATGCATGGCACACCTTTGTTGATGAAAATCAAGAAGTTTTAGCATATTTTTGGCATTTCCCACGGTAACTGGTGAAAAATTAATTCCAATACAAATAAGGGCATTTCTTACCAAAAAAACCATGGAGCATGTGTGATGATGGTCAGCACTAGCAGGATCTAAGATAGAGAGTTCCATGTGTATGCATGCATGCGTGTGTAATGTGTACAATGTACAAATGGAAGCTCCAAATCAGAACCCGTTGTCGCTAATTTTGGTACACATACACAGTATTATGTGATCCAAAAGGAATTAATGTCATTAAGTTAAAGGAACTCCAAGTTAGTAGCTAGGATTACACTTAACCATCGAAAAAAACAAAAATCTTGGATTACCCTTTTAATAAAATTGGACAGCAGGCTTTTTAAGAAAAAGGTATATATGTGCAGGACTAGCACAGTCCATCACTTGTAGACAAGGTTTATGTATCATACTGATGTCATCCACAGAAAGATCCATTGGGTATATATAAGACGTTGTCAAAAGGGATCACTCATACAAAGAAAGATTGCCAGGGAAATGAACACCATTAGCTATCCCCGTGGAAAAGCAAAAGGCAGGTGCAGCAAAAATAAATTCCACTCGATGCACTCCCATGTTAGAAAATGGTAGGGAGGTCTTCTTATTCCTCCATGACTGCCTAATATTCTTTCAGAAAACATGAGGATTGGACAGTGTCTGGCAATCATAAATCATCAAGAAAAACTAGCGAACATTCATATGGACATGCACTACCAAATTGCATCATAAGCATCACCATTTTTAGGTACTACTAAGAAAAGACATCACCTTCCTTAGATATTGAGAAACAAACTTAAAAGCTCCTAGCTCCATGGATGCATGTATTCCATTAGGTTTCATGGCAATATTATCTGATTTTTCTAAAACAAATTCACAAACAAACATAAGCACACCATACACAAACCTCTCTCTTCAAAAGGTTTGGCACGTGCACTTTCTATGCCTTTAAACATGTAGATTTGCAATGTTCTTATGAATCTAGAATATTTTTCAATGAGTTCATCAGTAGACTCGGTCATATCCTAAATCCTATTTAAGTCTTTATAAAAGACAGAATCTTCTGTAGAACCTTCAAGTTATACTTGTATAGCCCAACTCAGCTCAAGACAATGCCAACTCCCAGATGGAGCGCAAGTTTTAACTTTAATTCTCAACCTACAACTCTTCTTTTAATTGTTTCCTTGATATGGATATGTAGCTCTTTTATTGCTTATGTGGAGTGAGGGCCCCATCCTAAATTCAGTAAGACCATAAATTTAATTTCAATTGCCTTCACATGGCTTGTCCAAGGGGACTCAAGCTCATAGGACCATGTCGAAGCTCTTCATTATTCACTAATCCATACAATTTGGGCTCATGGTTAATCCGAGGTCTTTTCTTTTCTACCTGTTTGTCATCCCACGTTACAGTTGATCAAGGCCAGTTGAAGCCATCCCAGGGTAAGATGCAGTCTGGTTCTTTTCTCTCATTTTCAGGCCTTTAATTCTTGGTCAGAAGGGCTTTCATTTTTACTATTTACCAGAAGCAAAGCTTTCTATTAGTATAACATATGGTAGGCCCTATCTTTAGGGCCTGACTTTTCACACACAAAATTACCAAGGCATTTTGGTCAGTTTTTATCCACACCAATGGGGAACTGGGGATGCAAACAACATTTTTTGCACCTTCCAGTTTTTCGCTCCACCCACTTTCTTTCTCATACATGCCACTTGTAGGAACATGTGCCAGATGGATAATTTTGGCACAAAAACACAACCTCCAAGTGTTGTTTTAATGTACTTTTCTATGAATTCAAACTTCTGCTCCACGCAACGGTTCTCTGTTGACATTCTCTCACATTACAGACATTATTCCAAACGACACTATTGTTTGGCTTTGTGACCTGATGTCACTTTTTTTAACTTAGCTTCATCATCAATGAAATGCTCTGTTCCTTGCACACCCTTCAATATGCTACTTTATGTAACCTGATCTTTTCCTTTGCTTGGAAAGGATCTGGGTTTCTAGATCCATATCTGATTCAAAGAATGCATCAGCCAATGCTTTACAGAAGACACAAAAATATGCTTCCTGACTTCCTCTGCTCGTTAAGCACTCCTGGGTGTCTTTTGTGAATATATTATGAAATGTTATCGCATATTCTTCCTAGCTGCCACAAGTGGCATCTTTAGCAATGACTCAGCCACTTCATTTACTTGGATGCACACTTTTGCAACCTTGGATCATTAAGGATACAACATCCATTTCTATCACTAGTATGAAATATATACTCCAGTGTATACCCATCCAGACAGGACATTTAACAGGTTGGAGCAAATTGCAGAGTTCTTCATAAGCATGTATCTTGCAGGTAGAGCAACTTCCTATTGATCCCTTTCCTCTTATGAATGGATGATTAATTGTGGAATTTCCATTTGTACGTCAGGAGTCAGCTGGGTTCCAAGTCGAATCCATTCCGTATAAACCTGTGAGGCCACATCGAGTTTTTTAAGAAAATGAAAATCGCAAATAAAGATAAGGACTCCACGACATCTTAGTTACTAGGCTAGTGCTAGAATTATTACAAGTTATGAAATGTGCAAATTAAAGGCATCTCTTTAGATCCTCAACACCACCCTTGCCAGTGTTTGATCATAATCATACTAAAAAGTCCACTCCTCCAGTATCTCACATAGAGTGTATAATCTAGGACTATATATACTCTATAAAATAGGGACCTATAAATGAGGATCCTTTCATGTATAGAAAGCAAGCAATGAAACTATATTAAAAGTACAGTTGTATCATTCGCTGGCAAGAAATTTAGACAATCATAAGTTAGGTTGTCATCTTGGTCTTCAAGGTTAGTATTCAAGTAGGTTTTTACACAATCTAAATCCATAAGTCCCATCTCCACTATTTATCAACCACCACGACAATTCTTATTACACTTCTTCTTATTCTGACACATTTCATTGCATAGGCATTCTCCTATAGTTTCTATTCAAATGTGGGGGCCATAAACTACCGTCTCATTGGAAAAGGTAATAGCTCATTTCAGTCATCAGCAATCTTAAGAGAAAAGTATAAAGGCAACTATAACTGCAAAAAAAGAGTTGCACATAAACGGTCCCTCTTTCAAATTCAATGCACAACATACAACAGATTAATCACCCAACATAATGTCAGTGCCAGTAAAACGGATCATAAAATATTAAAGCCCAGATATCTCATGAATCAGCATCATTCGAAAAGACGAGAGAAACCAAAGGATACACACCTAACCTCATCCTTCCCACTCGGGCCCCTTCTGAACCGATTTATCTTGACCACCTAAACAACAATTCTTTAAATCAGAGTAAGCCAAAAAACCAAGAAGATAATCAACTAATTATTCGTCAAATTCCATCATAACCTAACCTTCTAACCACAATGAAAAACAATAATAACAAATTATTCGTCAAATGCCATCAACAACTCGGCAGAGAAACTCCATAGAGTATCAGATATGAAGAAGAAGTGAATTACCATGTACCATCACTGAAAAGTAATATGAAGAAGCAATCCAAACTCTAGTTTTCAGAGAGAGAGAGAAAGAAGGAAAAGATTAATAATTAAGCGGAGATGGTAGTCGTTAGGAACCTGAAGTTGGGCGTTAGGAGAGGGAAGGCTGAACTTGTCAGAGAAGAAGGCAACGGCGCACATTAGAGCGAGAATGGTGGTCACATATGTGAGAAGGCTGTTCAATCTATAACCAAACCATGCATCTTCTATCTCTCTCTTTTGTTCTTGCAGTTGCAGAGGTGTGTGCAACAAGTAGGTTATAGAAAGATGATAGGCGTTATAGACATGATACTTGCTTCATTGAGACAGAGAAATAGGAGACACTGTCTTGCTACCTCCAACATGGAGAGAGAGAGAGAGAGAGAGAGAGAGAGAGGACGACCGACCGAGGAGGAGGAAGTAAGTTAGTAGTATAAGTGGATAGAGAGTCATAGTGTTATTTGTTACGTAAGTTGTGTCGCGTCGTCTGACTACTACG